GCATGTGTCAGGGTGGAGCTTGTTTGCCAAGGGAAGTGAGAGCACACAGTCCACCTCTGTCAGTCTCTATTCTCTTCTTTCCCGAATTCTTCTCTCTCTCTCCTCCTGGCACATGAGACAGATATGGGGATACTCTGGCACCAGAAAGCACAGAGCACCAAGACTGCCTTGTCTTTCATAGTAGGGCCTCCTTAAGTGCTCCTTACACACAGTAGGGCTGGACCCAGGAGCGCTCCTTCTCCAAAGAGGAGCAGGTGGCTAGCTCATGTTACAGAACTCCACCAAGTGGATGAAAAGCGCTGGTTGCTCAGGTTTAAGATGGAGCTCTGTCCTGATTCATGGTCTCAGAACTATACTCAGGCTGTCTTCCCAGACCAGGAGGAACTGAAGAATGATTCTATTTGCTAGCTTTCCCCTAAGCCTGTCAGCCTCCAGCACAACGAGGCAGCACTGACTTAATGACTCAATAAGTGAGGAGAGAGAAAGGATTTTCACAGATAACAGAGTTTAGGCACAACACACTTTTCACAAGGAGAACTCAATTTTTAACCTCTGTTTTTAAAATGTTGTATTTCTTGTTTGATTTTCTTTTTTTGTTTCCAAGAGTGTCCATCAGAGTGATGTGGCTGAAACTGGGGAAGAAAAGCAATTTCCCTTTTATGGTATAACAGTAGTTTTAGTCACGTGAAATGGCTCCCAGATTTGGGATGATCCTCAGCTGCTAAGTGAGTATGATTTGAGATTTTAATTGAGAGCTCTTTGGAAATAGCTCACAGGTTTCTTGCCTGTTCGTATATGCTTAGAGGACTGTGCTTTTCCATTCAAATAGCACGGATTTCATCACTGAAGATGAATGAAATGCATGTCAAACTAAGCTCTTTTATTGAATTTGCTTTTTTTCTCCAGTGGGAAAAGGCTCAGTTCTTATAGCTTACATCATCTGTGAGCAGAAGTGCCTCCTGCTAATAGATGTCCTTTTATATTGAGGAGTCGGGGAGAAGCCTCAACTGTCTCCAGCTGTGGAGGGTTTGTGGGAGAATCTCTTGTTTGTTTTGTGTGTTTTCATCCTCTTGTCTTGTAACAATACATAAGCCCAGAGTATGGCTGGCCCGAAATGTAGAAGGCTTAGTAGGTAAAGGGAAAAGAAACTGAATTGAAGAAATTCAATTCAAAGAAGCACAAAATTTGGTGGCCTTGTTTAGAATAATCTGAGAAGCCTGAGCACTGGACCAGGCATGGTAGTATAAACTTGTAACTTGAGTACTTTGGAGAATCAAGGGTTCAAATTACTTGGGGCTATAGAATGAGACCCTGCTTTAAGAACACCCAAAACCAAAGCAATCAATTATGTGAAGGATTGTGTACGAGTGTGTGTGTGTGTGTGTGTGTGTGTGTGTGTGTGTGTGCTTGTGTATGTGAGTGTATATGTGTGTGTGTGGTGTGTTTATGTGCATGTGTGGTGTGTGTACATACATGTGTGTGTGTATGTGTGCATGTGTGTGTCTGTGGTGTGCATGTGTGAGAGTGTGTCTGTGTATGTTGCAAAGTGTGTATGTGGTATATGTTCGTGTGTGTATGTGTGTATGTGTGGTGTTTGTGTCTATGTGTGTGTTTGTGTGTTCCTGTGTGTGTGTGTGTGTGTGTGTGTGTGTGTGTGTGTTTATGTATAAAGTTCTCTAACTGAAAGGTGACCTTTTCTTGGCCATTCCTCCTTGTTGGGGCCACAATAGGTAACCCTTTGATCTTTGACCCTCTTCCTAGTGTTGCTAACTATTGTTTTGATCACATGTGAATCTCAGCTCTCAGGAGGCCTCAACAAGAAAACTACTTGTTTAGCTATACCAGAGTTACTAAGTTGTTCTGAGGGTGCACCCTGTGTTGTTGGAGGGTATTTTAGTTTGAATTGACTTCCATTTCATTTGCTTCTTTATTCACAGAACACTGAGCATTTACCTGGCACTAGCTACCCACTAGGCATTCACTCACTAGAAGAGATGCCAGAACTGCAGGAGAGTTGGAGATTGTCCAGGTTTATTTGTTTGTGTTTGTTTTGTGTTTTACAGAGATGAGGATTCATGCAGTCTAGTGTGGCTCAAACTGACTCTGTAGCTGGCCTTGAATTCTTAATCCCCTGCCTTAATCCCCAAAGTACTGGGATTAAGTAACAACACCCAGCTCAAGATTGTCTAAGACACCAGAAAACTTGTACAGTGTCTTACTGTGGAGAGCTCTGAATGCCAGATCACTGTCTACACCCATCAGGTTTCACTGAGCAGTCACTCACAGCTAGTTTATATGGTCTCCCTTTCTTCTTGGTGCTTTTCTCTGTTGTTTCTGTGCAAATGCCCATTTTCTCTTTCTTACAACTTGCTTTCTAGCACTTGAGAACCACACCTCATGAATATGCTTGTCCCTTTCTTTTATTTAATTAAAATTATTGTCATACAATATATTTTGATCATATTCCTTCCCCTCCCTCACTTCACCCAGGTCCACCCCACATCCCTACCAACCTAAGTTCATGCTCTCTCTCTCTCAAAAAAATAACAAGAAGAATAAAAGTCAAACAAACAAAAACACCCACTAGCACAAACAAGACTTATACAAGTTTAGACCAGACAAAATTCCATCCATGGGGAAGAAAAAGTGGACACAAAGTCCCCCCTCCTTACCAAGAAGTTGTTTTCAATGGATACCTTCGGGGAAGGGAAATCCAGTCTTCTCTGATGTAGCAACACAGGGGTATCAACCCCAGCCCAGGGCAGACTACATGCCCCAAGAGCAGCTGGCCAGCAGAAAATGGGATCCATGTTTTTGTGTGCCTTTTTTTAAGCTTCTGAAAATAATGCCCTAGTGTGGCATCACATGGAACATTTTCTACTAGGGCTCTGGGAGCTCAATGGACGTCTCTGAAGCAGCCATATTCTTTAAAGATCTGCAAACAGCTCAACTTGACTGAGGAAAACATTGTGACTATAGAAAAGGGGAAAATTATCTTGGGCTGTGTCCTTGGTGTCTTATTACCTGCTTCTGCAGCAGGCATGGCACCTCTTACCTTTTGAGTTTCCTAAGCTCACCACATTGATCCTCTACCAATCCTGCAGCTGAGAATATGACAGGGACACAATTCAAACCCCCTGCTTGCCTATCCAGTGACCCTAGTGTGTGTTTTATAAATACACTAGTTCATGTACTTTCTTTTCTCTGGCTATGAAAGTCTCTATGAAGGTGGACAGATGTTAGATATCTGTAATTGCACACATGGACTATGGAGGCAGGAAGGTAAAGAACTCAAGTCCACCTTCTGCTACACAGCAAATTTGAGGGCAGTCTGTGCTACATTCATTTCTGTCTTTAAAAAAATCTATTCAAAGCCTGAGGGGGTCAAACATATCACAAGAAAAACCACAGAACCAACTAACCTGGGTTCATAGTTGCTCACAGAGACTGAACTGACAACCAGGGAGCCTGCATAGGACTGACTTAGGCCCTCTACATATATGACAGTTGTATTGCATGGTCTTCTTTTGGGACTCCTAACAAAGCAAACCAGAGCAGACCCTAATGCTTTGGCTGGCTTTTGGGAACTTATTCCTCATACTGGGTTCTCTTGCCCAGCCTTAATACAAGGAGAGGTACTTAATCCTACCACAGCTTGATATGCTATGTTTTGTTGATATCCATGGGAGGCCTGCCCCTTTCTGAACAGAAACAGAGAAGGAGTGGATGGGGGGAACAGAGTGGAGGTGGTGTGAGGGGCTGGGAGGAGAGGAGGGAGAAGAAACTGCAGTCAGAATGTAAAATAAATAAAATTAATGAATAATAAAAGTAGATTAAAAACTCCAAATAAATAACAACAAAATTACACTTCCCCATGATGTAATATGCCATTTATAACCAATTCTCTGTCCCCAAGTCATAACCACTCACATTTGGCTCAGAATAAGCAGATAAGATACAGTTGGTAGTTTCATCTCCACAGCACCTTCGTATTTCTTTTCTGTCATATCCACCCTGGCCTCTATCTCTAATTGAAAACACCCTGAAAAATTTAACATGCTCTTTCCATAAACAGCTAGAAAGGCACTGGAAATTCCAACATCATTCAGATCAAGTTTCTAGCTGGAGCATGACAGAGCATGGCAATGATGTGTGTGACCCAGGCAGCTCTGCTGAGGAGGAAACAGTTTGCACGCTGCGCTGCACTGTGCTGTTCACAGACATTATCAGCTTGCTTACAGGATTGAGAAACACATCAGGAAATACATTATTAGAACTGTCCTTTACCCACTATACTTAGACCAATTTATTCACCTATCTATCTATCTATCTATCTATCTATCTATCTATCTATCTATCTATCTATCTATCTATCTTAGACCCACCTTATCTTCTTCATGTCTTGTTCTAGGATGGATTTGAGCATCAGTCCCCAAAGAAATACCAGGGCAGCTTATTATAAATGCAACAGTCTTGCTGATGATATGACAAAACAAAATATTAAGCATAGTACAAAATAATATATTGTTAAATATTTGGGAACATTTTCCATAAGATTTTTAAAAAGAATCATGAAGGCAATGTTTCTTTTTCATATTTCCCTTTATGTTTCCTAATGTCAAAGGCAATGATATAAGATTTTCAATATATGTATTAGATACAGAAAAATAGTTATTGTCGTCTTTGTAACTTTTGTAAATCATTCTACCATGAAAACAAGAAGGTAAGGTTTTGACTCTATGCCCATTGGGAGCAAGCACAAAATAATAAATCATAATTTTTCTGCTAAAAAGATAGCTGGAGGGCAAAGGGGATGGTCTTTCTATTAGTTACCCATGACAGGCAATGGTGGAGGAAATATCATGCATAATTCACAAATCATGTGCAAAACAGCAGACATACAAGAGGCCTGTGTCAATGAAGGACTCCAGGCATCCTTGTATTGTGACAAAAGTAGCCAGTCTCTCTCTCAATTCAGAAAGCAAATTGCAAGCTCTTACCTTGGAGGGCCTGTAAGCTGTGGGTCTGCACAATAATGCAGAGCTGCAGGACCAACTGCGGAGCACTTTCCAGAAAGGTGGCTAGCAGGTGCAGCATGCTCACATCCGCATACTCATACACCATCCTCCAGTAAAACCCCCCCCTGCCACTTTCCCCACTCTGCCGACTCCGAATACCTAAGTATATTGTATGCAAATACCTGAAAGAAAACACAGAGAGAGGATAGAGATGAGTGACAACTTGAAATTCAAACTCCTAAATCATTTTCCTTTGGTACAAGTTACCATATTCATGCATGTTCACAGCATGAGGAAATTGGTCATTTTTAGAGCACCCAAAGTCTCACAGCTCAGTTTGGGAGATCACAGCTCTGTAAGTCTCAGGCATCCCACTGAATTGCAATATGAAGGTGGGAGGTTTATGCCAATTGTTTTTATTCATATTTTGAGCAGAGGAAAACAATACTTTTGCATTTATTTACTGCCATGTTAGTAATGTACTCCAGAACATTAACTACCAGAGAGTAAAGTGTCTTTTATTTATGTACTCTTATCCCTCCAATTAATTTATATACTTTTATTCACTCAGTGAGTTCATACTAAACACAAGGAGCATCTATCATTGTGTATTTTCCCCCCAAGGAAATGTAAACCTGTTGGAGAATTTTGGATAGAAAGGAAAGGAATATGAATTGCATTTTATCACCATTAGTTATTGCTTGAGAAATAGAAGGCAATAGGTAAAGGAAGAAGCAGCAGCATTGGCTTGAATTATTGGAGGAGCACAGCTGAGGGAAGATGCAAGTGGTACTTGTGGTGGAAAGGTATCTTAGTTGGGGTGTATCTTATACTTCATGGACATCTTTTGCATTTTGAGGGACCAAATTAATGAATAGATGCACAACTACATTGCAATTGTCTTTGAATTCCCACAGAGGACTCTCTGAGTTATTTTATTTCTTGGTTCCACTGGGAGGAAGTCATGCCTATTCATGACATTTTGCTGCCATGGGTTTAAAGGCTGCAAACCAGCATTCTGGTCTGTGGTCTTCAAGGACTGGGACTCCTGGAACAAGAAAACATGATTTTCCCAGCACTTTGAACTCACAATAAACCCAACACTATTGACAGGATTCTTCTGTAGAAGAAAACACCTATTTAGTGTATTAGAGTTTCACAAGTATGAGACTTAAAATGAAGCCTTCCAACAATACATATACAGAATCCAAATACTTTGCAAGCGAGGAGAGCAAGGAAAGTTATAACACTTCTTGGGTAGTTTTCTGAGATTGTATTTAGTGTGCTAGGATAAATAACATCACGTGTAGCACCTTACCCACTTCCTGTGAATGGCTCAATAACATTAGTATATTCATATTGCTGTGCATGTATACTCGCCACACACTCACAGAAGTCCTTTCCTCTCACAAAGCTGTTTGTGAGTCCCTATGCTGATTAACAAACTGCTCTTACCCTGACTCCATCCTCTACTGCCCTGGCCTCTGGCAACTTCCAATCTCCTTTCTGTTTCTGTGAACATCTTTTTCCTAGATGTTTGTGATTTAAGTTTGACTATACATTTTCTGTTCATTGATTTTTTTTTACTTCAATTACTATAATATCCCTAAGGTTTATCTACACTGTGGTAAGTGTCAAATTCTATTCTAGATAGGAAGCTTTTAAGTGCATGAGCCTTTACAATATACTACTTGATGTGTCTAGCCTACAAAGAGTGAAATAAAAATATTCCCTAATAAGTTCTTGTCTATTATAGCCCAAAGTCTTCCCCTAGAAGACAAGAGCAGGGGAGGTCATGTGAAGTACCAAGCTAGTGATATACCTGTGCTCTTTATATGTAATAATAGATACAGGTTAAGAACATGCGTAAACATGTTACAAAAATATACAGTATGAAATTACTTATAGAACAAGAGGGATTGAATTTCAAGTGCCCAACAGGGTGTGAGTTGAAACAGTCTGCGCACTCATTGTACCTTAGGAGGACAGCTCCCAGGACTCCCTTCAGATACCCAAATCTTCAGATGTTCAAATCCCTTACAGAAAGCCTGTGCACACCCTCCCCATCTGGTCATAATCTCTTGATTATTCATAACATTTAATATAAAGCAAATGTGAAGTAACAGGAGTCATACGGTATTGCTTAGAAAGTAATATCAAGAAAGTTGTGTACACATTCAGCTCAGATATGATATCTTCCATTTTGGAACCTCTGTTGGTTAAATCTGCAGGAACTTTTCTAGTCCTCCTGAGATTTATCATTTGCATATGTCTATTTCTCCTTGTACTTGTGACTCTATGATTTCCCCACAGATCATTTTCACTACTGACACGAGTTTTTAAAGTGCCAATCCTCAATTTGGCTTCTTATATGGACCATGGTAACTAAATCATAACAATCCCTACTTCGTGTTTTCACTGCAACATTATAGCCTAGAATCATGGGATGAATAAGCTAGAGGGATTTGGGGATCAGTTGCCAGGGCTACAGGACTGAGAAATGAAGATGGCACCAAGATCCCAGGTATTCTGATGCCAAGACTATAATCTTTTATTATGTCCATCTGGCTCTAGTAATTCTGGAATTTAACACATGTCAGACACAGACATAATTCACTACATTTTCCTGTCTTCTACATGCTTTTGTTGTTATAGCTGAGAGAAAATAAGTGTCAAAGTGAAGAATTTTAGATCTAGATAGAATTTGGATTGTGATAGCAGTTCCAGTACTCGGGAAGAATGATGTGTTTTCTTAGCCTACACTTGCATTGTGTAATTTTTAAAGGATACTAAATCTTTAAAAAGGAGATGAGATTATGTGCATAAATTATCTACTGAGTATCCAGTAATGTCAGATGTCATTTAGAGTAAGTCTATCTATTTCAGGAGTTAGTTGGAGAATATCAAAGATACCCTAAGCTTTGTATTTTCTTATCAGTTTTCTCAAGTTGTCTTCAGTTATACTCAAGTCATCATGTGACTTAAGGATGTGTGAGGACCACCTTTTCTCAGGTGTTATAAATCCAGTAGACAGTCATAGCTCTGTTTTGATCTCCTGTCTTCTCATTGGTGTCCTATATAAGCATCTATCTGTTGTCTGTATATCTAATCTGCTCGCTCATCTATCATCTACCTATTCATCTATATCTACATACCTACAATTTTCATATCTATCTGCCATCTGTATACTTATTTAATCTGTCATCTATAATCACTATCATTACCATTAATCAGTAATCCGGTCAATTGAGGTGCTGCAGACTTCATTATGACTATACATTTATGGCAGGAGAAAAAGATGGATAACTGCCAGTCTTTAGAAAATAGCTTTTGTACATTTGAAACAAGTAAGCAAACAGAAATTTTGTTTCTGTGACATCTGTGTTTGCATGATCCCACTGGAAAAGTATTTGTTGTTCTTGGATTCTATGTGTCCTATACTCTGACTTGGAGTTTCTATAGATGAAATTAGCAAATATGGTACCTCTCTCAAAATCATTGTGAAGGATAGATAACAGGCTTTTCACACTTCTTCCTCATTTATTTTCCCGGTATGTGGCCCAAAAGGACAAGAAGTCTTCTAGAATGAAGGAACTCATGGTGGAACTTCTATGGGTATCAACATATTATAGATGTTATAGATATACAGGCATTTATAAATACATATATAAATGTTATATGTGTATATTATATATGTAAATGTCTCTTTAAAAAGGAAAAGTGACTTTTTTATTTCTGTTTCTCATTAGAAATTTTTTTGTTGTCATATTTATTCAGCCATGGATTCTAACAGTGTTTCTGTCAGGGTGTATCATTTGGATGCTCTTCCAAAGGGAAGAGCTTTCCAGCTACCACCCTACTGAGAAACAGGTTTTCTAATCAGTTGATAATCTAAGCTGAGGTTCAGGTCAGGTGGAGCAAGGGAGCTCAGTATGTTTTCCTTTTTGAGACTATATTTCTGATTCCCTGGTGGTTAGAGAACATACATCTCAGAGGATAGTGGTGGCTAGGGACAGTCATAGTAATGGAAGCCTTAATTCTTTTCTGATACTCATACTATGGCCAGGAGAACTCACAAGAATTTTACTTATGGCTAAAATTTACTTGGCATAATTACCAAAGAGCACCATTTAAGCAGGAACAAAGTTTGAAAGCTTTGCCATCAAGGATGAAGTCCTTCTGAACTTAAGAATACATTAAACAGCATGGGTCTTTCATCATTGCCACTGAAAATGCTCCTCATAAAGCCCTCTTTGAATTGTCACTGTATCATCCACATCTTTGGAAGGACAGCCATGGACACAGCATTTGCCTTTCTTAGAGTAGGACTCAGTGTTTCTCCAACTGGTCAGCTCTCATTATTTATTCCAAGGGAAGCATGTTAATAGAAAGTGTAAGTTTTCTTACACTGTCAAAGACCACCAGGCATTTTGCATCAGTTTTCTCAACATAATTTCAAACCATCGATATTTCACTTTCCTAATTTCATTACTATTGTTGAAGATGTTGCCACAAACACACTAATAAAGACATGTGTATGTAACCTACTTCTAATACAACACAGAGAACATCAAATCACCAGGCATTCTGAAAATAGAAATTGCATTGAAACTCCTAGCTCCTTTTGATCAACACTTTTCAAGTGAAAAAAAGCACACTGGAGCCAGTTATGGTGTCAAAGATCCATAACCTTCTATAGTCTACTCAAGAGACTGAGGCAGCAGTATCACAACTTTAACTCTGGCCTTCACTACAGAGTAAGTTCAAAAGTACCCTGGGCAACTTAGATAGATCCTTTCTCAGAAAACGCAGTTTACAAAAGAGAGTTGGAATATAACTCAGTGGTGGAGAGGTTACTTAGTGCCACAAGGTTCTAGATTGAGTCTCTATTACTGCTAAAACTTCAGGCTGAAACACAATACAACAAATGTGATAAACTGGGGAAGTGGGGTTGTCCCAAGCATTTGGTTTGTGAAGCATTACATGGATATGTGATTCATTTAAAATTTCATGAGGTTGAGTATAATACATATATAACTCATGTTTCAGGCAGCCCTTATATATGATTTGATCATTTGATCAAGTGTGTCATTAGCTTCTGATATATGCATAACTGAATCAGGAATAGTTCTAAGTATATTGTGCATATACATGCTAAACCTGAATTCTTTCACTAACTTGTGGCACATTAAATAATTTAGCTGTTAGTGGGTGTTATTTTTGTTGCCTTCAAAATAGAGTAAAATCTGGCCAAAAATCTTAGATATACAACACTAATAGACAGCAATCCCAGAAAGTGCTATTTTCTTCTGTTGCCTGACTATGAAGCTTTAGAGTAGAGGTATGTTGATGAGAGCTGTTTAGCCTGTGCAATAATTTGCTGCCACAGCAAGTTCTGCACTGGGCATGCTAAAGCACAACCACACTGTATATGATGGCGCATGACTGTATCCCTAGTGCTCAGGAAGCTGAAGGGATAGAGTCCTCTAAGCACATGAGTTCAAGACCAGCCTGGGCAACACTGGAGGGCTCTGTTCCACAACCATCCTAAATATAACCACTGCCTTGGGTAACACCGGTGTGTTGGGTGGCCATCATTTCCACTTCAATTTCAAGTGAACCTGACTTGAAATTCTGTCCTGAATTTCTGTTAGAAACTTGCCAACTGGCTGCTATTATAGAATAGATTCTATTTCCCATTAATCATCCAAAGGGAAAAATCGTACATTTGCTGAATGGGGAAAAATGAATGAATTGACCTACCATTTGAACCAGCATTAGGATCCCAGTTACACTAGGAGCTCTGAGCCACATCTGGGCTCCTGACACTATCTCCTTCCATGTTGTCATTGTCACAATGCCTGGCTGCTCCACCTTTCATCAGCAGCACAAAACCTCTCCCCAAATAATTGGCAGTTTGCAGTGTCCTTCTTGGAGGGCAGGCTGTGAATATTCAATGTGGAGACAGGGAAACAGCTTCAGGATCTTCTTGGAAATCCTTGAACCTGACAACTGTTTCCTCTCTGCACTAGCATGTTTTCTCTCCAAGAGGGCTGCAGTGCTTCTCCCAGTCCCCAAGCTTTGGCTTGCTCTGCATACAGTCCACCCCTGGGTTGTATTTCAGTCTCCCTTCTCTTCTACCAGATAGAAAATAGTTAGAATTAATTTGTGTCTCAAAGAACAAGAATCTAATAAAGGCTATGTTGCATGGTGTGCACCCTTGTCTGCTTGTACACTACAGGCATTTTGTATTTGATAGGGACTATTTTTACTGATTTCAAATGTATTTTGTGGAAATACAGTTCATCTGTGGGACATGGTTATTTTTGTTTTGTTTGATTTCCAGGCATACTTCCTACATAAAGATACCAGATATAAAAATAGTTCCCTTTTTTAAATTCCCAAATTGTAGAGGCAAAAATAATGGAGATTTTCTTCTGCTAAGTAATTTCTCTTGTAATGGGCA